GAGGGAGAGGGAGGGAGGGAGAGAGGGGGAGAGAGAGAGAGAGAGAGAGAGAGAGAGAGAGAGAGAGAGGAACAGTTACCCAAATTTAGGTGTTCAGCCAATGTTTGGAGGGCTTGCCCTGTTCCAGTACTTGGGATACAGTGGGGACAAGGCCAGCACCCCATGTCCACAGAGCTCCTGGGGTGCTGAGCAGCAAGGGGTGCTGAGGCAGTGTTTGGTCACAGGTCACTGGAAAGTGCTTTTGGTGGGGCAGACTGCACACTGAGCCCGAAAGGATTTTAAGTTCTTGAGATTTGGAGAGACTTGAAATGGAGCTGGGTCCCTAAGACAAAACCTTAAGAGAATCTCTCAGTGCCTCTTCCCACCACACACACACACACACACACTCGTAGGCAGGCACATGCATGTTAACAGATGCAAAACCTTGGTGATCACTTAGTCCAAGGGTTTCCAAACCTTTTCAGTGGCAAACCTTTTTAAAAAAATTGTATTTTATTATTAGTAATTGTAATACACTTACAAGTTCAATTTTATAGCTAATTATGATGAAAATGAATGAGAACAAAGAAACTTTGATGACTAAAAAAATTTTAAGTCAAGATTTACATACAACAGTTGCCTCTTTATCGCATGCAGGAGCTAATTCACTATTGTATTTGGCTGCACCGTATCAGGAAAATCCTGATCCACACAGATAAGTAGCTACAAAATTGTATGGCTTAAAAATGCACATAAATCATTCACACTCCTCCCATGGAGCTAGCGCAGTGTCAATGTCCCCTGTTCTTGGAGTTGGGCTTAGTGACTTGCACATTTAAAACAGTTCACCCAGCAATAGCCTTGGCCCTCATTTAAACTGACAGGAGGAAAGGCTTTATTCAAAGGTCTTCTCCCAAATGAGCTAATCTGGCAGACTTTAAATACAGCTGACCCCTGAACAACATAGGGGTTGTTCGAAAACAAAGTCAGAAATCCGTATATAACTTCTGACTGCCCCCAAATTTAACTGCTATTAGCCTGTTCACCAGAAGCCTTACTAACATAAACAGTCGATTAACATGTTTCTTATATGCACTATATACTGTGTTCTTACAGTAAAGTAAGCTAGAGAAAATATTTTTTAAAGATTTATTTGAGAGAGAGAGAGAGAGACAGCACAAAAGCAGGGGGTGGGGCAGAGGGAAAGGGAAAGCAGACTCCTCGCTGAGCAGGGAGCCTGATGCGGGACTTGATCCCAGGACCCCAGGATCATGACCCGAGCTGAAGGCAAGACTTTTAACCGACTGAGCCACCCAGGCGCACCGAGAAAAGAAAATATTAAGAAAATCATAAGAGAGAGGGGCACCTGGCTGGCTCAGTTGGAAGAGCATATGACACTTGATCCCGGAGTTGGCAGTTTGAGCCCCAAGTTGGGTGTAGAGTTTACTAAATAATAATAATAATATTAAACTTTGAAAATTTTTTTAAAAAAGAAAATCATAAGGGAGAGAAAATACAGTTAGAGTACTATACTGTATTTATCTAAAAACCGCATGTATCAGCGGACCTAAGCAGTCCAAACCCATGTTGTTCAAGGGTCACCTGTACATCGGTGGGCTCTAACACTTTTGGCATATAACACATATAAATGTGTCCACTGACTGTTATTAAAACCTTTAAGATAAAAATTTAAAAGTGAAGCCAAATGAAAGGTTATGGATTCCTGATGCACTCCCACTATCACCTAGAGTTCCTTGGGGAAAGCGGATTTAATCCATGCAGCTGCTTCCCTGAGGAAGCAGGTCCAGAAAAGCACAGCGCAAGACTGGGCTCAGGTCTCCAGCTCCCCCAGTCACCTCTCCCGACACAAAACAGGCTCCTTACGTTCTGGCCTAAAAGCCTCCTCCCGTTTCCCATAGGGCTCCTCACAGGGGCCCATTTGCAGATGGGTTATTTATTCTTTTTTTATTTTTTAAATTTTATGATGTTATGTTAATCACCATACATTACATCATTGGTTTTTAATGTGTTCCATGATTCATTGTTTGCCTATAACACCCAGTGCTCTATGCAGAACGTGCCCTCTTTAATACCCATCACCAGGCTAACCCATCCCCCACCCCCTCCCCTCTAGAAACCTCAGCTTGTTTCTCAGTGTCCAGTCTCTCATGGTTCGTCTCCCCCTCTGATTTCCCCCCTTCATTTTTCCCTTCCTGCTATCTTCTTCTTCTTTTTTTTTTAACATATAATGTATTATTTGTTTCAGAGGTACAGGTCTGTGATTCAATAGTCTTACACAATTCACAG